ACGACCAAATTATTTTGTCTCTCATACTATCGACCCTCGAGATTGTCCATTGACTTCGTTCTAGTTCCTGCTTTATTGCACATTTCGTTGGGAAGATGTTGCTGTGGTTCACCGTTGTCTGCTGCCCATGGGCGATATTCCATTCGATAATGTTTGAAATATTAACAGGATGCTAGGATCGACAATTAAAACCCGTAATAAGATTCAAGATCTCGTTTTGTGGAAGAACTTCCAAAGTCTACATGGTATGAAGATTAGAATCTAACGCTTCGATCACCCTCTTTACTTCTTATACCGATCATGCGTCGCATTTTCCGTTGGTAGTTCCACTGGACGCATATCTGCTTGAGTATCAAGTTCCAATGGCCTCTGTTGCTGCTCCATTTCCCATGGCGCATGTTGCTGCTGCATCTGAGGTGATTTAGGCTCAGTATGCTCAATATTCGCCTGCTTAGACCTCCTCGCTCGAAGCACAAACCAGATCAATGCGACGATTCCAAGAAGAGCTCCAACTCCAATTCCAACTCCAATACCGATCTTGGCTCCTCCGCTCAACCCGTCATAGCTTGACTCAGATTCACTAGACGATGCGCCGGTTGAAGAAGACTCCGTTTCTGTCATAGTCGCAGTCGTATCCGAAGTTGCGGTGGACTCGAAATCGGAGGAATGCCATCGGATGGGAATACCAATAGCATTGGCTCCAAGTCCACGGGAAGTTTTTCTTTCCCATTCTCCTCCCAGGACTGAATCAGAGACGATAACATCCACTGTCTTCGGGATATAGAGGGTGCAGAGATCAGTGCTGTACCAAGGCCAGCGTGTCTCACTTTGACAAGTGAATTGACTGCATCCCCGTCAGCATGGCCCTTGGGCAACCATTAGCTTATATTCATACCTTGGACAGCACGTCGCTCTAGTCTCGCCGTTGTCGAATGTCGAACTGCACGCAACTTCGAATCCACTGGGACATATACCGGGGGAGTAGTAAAAGGTTGTACCAAGTTCTAAACTACTAGGAAAGCAGCCGGCATCGCTCTCTGAGGGACCCAACTGCAGGTATGTGCACGCGCTGGGCGTACCGGTGCCTCCCTCTTTACACGTGCGGTCAGTTCCTGTGTATGTATATTTGAAATACTGGAAGCATGACTTGTCGGGTGTGAAGGTTGTCGTGAGTTCGGGAGCTTGTGTTGTCATGGTGAGCACGGGTGAGATACGAGTGAGGATGACAAGGAAGTAAAAACTTCATCAACGCCCGACTGTTACGAAAATTAAATAACACATGATCCTAATCCTTCGAGCCAACACGGCACGGTTGGACAGGGGAAGTTATTGGGCAAGCCAAGTCTTTTAACCGCCTACCCCATGTTGCTTGTTGGGGGCGGAAACACAAAATCGGTCAATGAACCTCGGGTAATTATGGGTAATTGATTTTGAATCAACTCTCAATCTAAAGTGATAATGATTGATGTTATCAGTATGGATAACTTTTATTGTATTGCAAATATCCAATTGTCGTGGCTCGTGATAGTGTCAACAACTTCGTAGGGCTAATTCACAACGCCGTTTGAAACGGGTAATTACCGAAAGGTTAGTGCTTACTTTGTTCGGGTTACAGCCAATGATACTACCCAATTAGAAGTCCCTTGACCTGACTATACCTTTTTTACTTGATTATCCTTACTATCGACAAGGGTGTATAGTAAACTAGTCAGCGCTAGTAATGAAGGCATTCACAACGGACTCCAAAACTTCACTTTGCTACGCCCTGTTCATACATATAGTATACTATGGACATCAGCAGCTTAACAATACAATAAATCATGGCAGCTACCGGTGATTTCAAATTTTCTTACGAACCCCTCAATAATCAGGATTTCCCCATCCGGGTCCTCCAAGTTCAGCCAGGAGACAATTCAGAACCTCTCTCCTGCAAGCTCATAAACTATTGCGATGCGTCTGAAAAGGGCTGGACTTGCTTGTCTTATACATGGGGTACCGAGTTACCAAAGGAAGAGATACTCATAAACGGCGTACCCTTCCCGGTTCGATCAAATGTCTACAGCTTTCTAAGACAGGCTCAACGTCAAGGTCCCAGGAATTTGTGGATTGACTCGATATGCATCAACCAATCTGATATCCCAGAGCGAAATTCCCAAGTAGGCCTCATGAGTGAAATCTTTGGCGAGGCTGAGTTGGTTACAGTCTGGCTTGGTCAAACTTCACCGGCTTTGGAGCGTGCTTTCAGAATGCTGGATTCTGGCTTCGATGCTGATACAGTGACTATAAGGGCGGCGGCCGGGCAGCCCGTGTTTGCCAAGTTCTCACCAGATGAGTGCTCTTCACTCTTTGAAGCATGCGGTGCTGCGATTTGGACTCGGCGGTGGGTAAAACAGGAGATCATGCTGCCCGAAAGTGTCATCTTATCATGCGGTGAAGCCTCTGTCAGCATTTCTGTCTTTTTTGCAGTCATGGACGCTTTAATCGACTACGAAACATTTCATGATCACACTATGCATGCCTCAGAATCATCTATCGAAGGCTGCGTGGAGCAGTCAGAAACATGCTTTTTCCATGCCACCAACTACAATCAGCGACTCCGCCAGTGTGCCAACGTCCTGGCTTTCTACTCAGCGACACGTTCCAAGCAACGACAGATTTCACTTCCTGTATTGCTGAGCATGTTCCAAGATTCCGACTGCACAGACTTTCGTGATCATGTCTATGCTTTCCGTGGTGTTATGGAACAAGGCATGGCGTTGCGTGTGGACTATGATATGCGAAATATTGGAATGTTCCTCATGACACTCGACTTTATCGCACAAACTACGCATCCTCGCTTACGCGGCGTCAATGCTGCTGAGAGAGATCTGCTTGTTGATTTACATCGCGGATTTAAGCTTACCGATAAGGATATGGAGGATATTTTTGAAATTTGTCAGACCAGCTTACTAGTCCAGATCGGCACCAGTTTCGAAATGCTACGCAAGGATATCTCTGTCTCGAAGTTTATGAGCTCTATTACTGATCGTGATGAGCTTATGGCATTACCATGGAGAAACAAGGACTTGTGTAAAGATTGTTGCAAAGTCCTGGGCGACCCAGAGCTGGATGAACATCACACCGTTCTCAATCAACTGCGCGCAGACCCCGCGCGAGATGTTTGGATATATGGGCTTCGAACTAGATGTGGGCCGAGTCTCGAAGGACTACGTGCTGTGTATGAGCCGCGCTGGCTGTATGAGTGCAGTGAAGACACATTGCAGCTGATAGACAGCGGAACTTTTAAGAAGCACCATTGTTTGGCATTGTTGTTTGATGCATATGGTAAAGAACAGGAGCTTAAAGAGTGGCTGGATGAGGTTAAAGATCATTTTGTTGTCATGGTTACTGATACGGATGATGCAGCGTATCAGATGCACGTTTTCATTCGGCCTGGTTGTGATTCGAAAGAATGTTTACTTGCAAAAGACCCTGGACCAGCCTAAGGTTTTCTATAAAATCTATTTACAGAAGATAACCAAGAAAATACACTCCATAACTCCGCCCTCTCTGCATTACTTACTCACTACTCGCGTGTTGAAGAACTGCTATTCCGCTCATCACAGCCATAAGCATCCAGTGGTATCCCATATAATTCGAAGTCGACCTTCCCAAAAATTGAAAACCTCCTGATCTCTGAACTGAAGTTGGGCTCACTTCATAGATCATCGCAACAACCTCTGCACTCTTTGGTCTGCTGGAACTTGACTTGCTAGTACGGCCGAGAGAAATAAGTTGCCATACCATGCTGTACATTCCACTCTGCGTTTCAGACGAAGCACGCCATTCGAATGATTCTGTTCTGCGACTCCCTTCATGTTCAACTCTCATAGAGAAACTGTATCTCGGATTCGATCTGGATCGATGGAAGGACATGGTGACTTCGTTGGCTGAGATGCTGTAACTTGGGATTGCGGGTAGTTGAAAAGTGAAACGCTCTCCAGATCGATTGCAAGAAACCATTGCGTCTCCGGCAAAGGTAGAGCCAGGGTAGAGATATGAGGGACCTTGCCAACCACGGGGCATGAGTGCTGCATAGATGACGCTTGAGCCTGGTTCAGAGATGAACAGCGCCATGGCAGATGAGGAAGTTGTCCATGTGAGTTGCATAGACTGGGGGAAGCCAACACTGAGGACTTCATCTGATATCTCAGATGGCGTTCCAGGTGTTGAAGGTCCGCTCTCTACATTGTATGCTTCAGAAAGAGATGGAACAAAGGGAGGAAATATCATGATTGTTGAAGATAGGTGGTTTGGGTATAGATGAATTGAGTATAGGCAAACAATTACAATTACTGAACGATTGAATTTGTTGGAGAATGAAACGATAACGAAGGACTTGAAACTGCTGCTTGAGTTTGATTTTTTCCTATTCCACCTACTCACGATAGTTATATACTCTTTCTCGTCGTACAATCCTCATCAACATTTGATATCGAGGAGCGCGCAGTTCCTCCGTATCGGGTTAGATTGATGTGGAGTGGACCCTTTGCCCAGCTGAAGTGATCGCATGTCTTACATCCCTCCGGCTGTTACTCCAGCAGGTCGGGTCTGTCCAATTGAACAATATCATTGGTTAGAGCCCTATGATTATCTTTGCTAGAAGCGATGCATGACCCATGTTTTGATCTGACACTCAGCCTCATCCGCCAATCTGCAAGGTTGACTGTTTCTATTCAGGAACCTTAGATTGGGGTCCTTGTATTGATTGGTAACTAGGATTCTCGGCCGATATAAGTCAGCCTGGGGAAGAGGCTTGTTTAGATATCTGGCGGGTCAGGAGTTTAGATACAGGGGGCAAATTGTATTCCAAAAGGAAGAATGAAGCGCCGAGATGGCGGAGTACAAGTTGAGAAGATTGTCAGCAGGTTCGAGGCCTCATGATGAGTAGAGGAATTGATTAACTATCAAATCAAGTCTCTATGAAAAGAAATTAGATGTTCGACGGGTTTTTCTTGATTTGGTATAGAGGACGAGATGAGGTGATCAAGGTTGTCTGGAGTTTGCCACTGAGGCGGTACTCTAGGCTACAGAATAACTGGAGGTCAAGTGATGCCAAAAGAAAAGCGATCGCGTTAGTACCGTATGGCCAGTGGAGAAGAGGAGTCTTGGCCAGTCTCTTGTAGCATTGCTATTTAGGGACCATATTCCTAAAAGGGAAATTCATTCGATATTTTGTCACGTATGCCTTCGGGAATCTGCATCTCGAAAGCTTAGAATAGAAGGCCATTCGAAAGTTGCGATGTGGATATCTTCAACTCTAGAGTCCCTAAGGGGAAGGCCATTCGAGGGAATGGATATATACACATCGCTTTGGAGGCAAATATCAAGGCAAAATCAATTTGTCCAAGTTGCATTTTCACGTACAAACCGATCTACCAGATTGGAGTTGTATAAATAAATGCACAATCCAACAAAGCTCAAGTAGCCAATAGAAATATCAACGGCATTTGCATCGGTTAAATCAAAGACAGACTACAGTAAGTTAACGGCTCGCCCTGCCAAACCTGTTTCTACTCCGCATCTCCAACCGCTGCATCACGATGATATGATGCAAACAAGTTCAACTCCCTGCGATTCCCCAAGACGGAAGCTCTAACCACTGATTTTCTCCACAAAATCATGCTGATATGATTTTACCCCAAACTCCAGGGATTGCGACCGGGAATACTGAAGCTCGGTTAGAAATCCATGATGGTTTTTGTATATGAATCGGCAGTCTTCCTCGGCTTTGAAATATCGTGAGATTCTTTTTCTCTGCTCATTTGTGTAAGTGATATTTATCTGATCACAATGAGAACTTGGTTTGGTCGCGGTAAAAAGCTGCAGCGCGCAGTAACATCATGCTGTCTCTGCGCCTTCGTCCTCTACGGTTACGACCAAGGTGTCTTTGGCGGCATTCTTGAAAACGAAGATTGGTTACGCCAATTCGATGATCCTGGTGATACCCTCACTGGTTTCATCACATCGAGCTATAACTTGGGATGTTTGGTCGGCTGTTTCAAGAATTTCGTCGTTGGTGAGAAACTTGGTCGACGATGGACCATTTGGGTTGCTATGGGATGGATTCTTGTTGGCGCGGCGTTGCAAGCGACTGCGTTTACGCGGGCTCATCTTATTGTTGGGAGAATTGTTACTGGTGTTGGTACTGGGCTTAAGACTTCTACTGTGCCTATGTAAGCGCACTGATGACACTGATAATCATTACTGACTGTTTTTGCAGGTACCAGTCCGAACTTTGTGAAGGCACGAAACGAGGTCGTCTGGTCTCGGCAGAAGTCATGTTTGTCGGCATTGGTATAGCATTCGCTTACTGGTGGGACTTTGCCTTCAGTTTCGTCGGAGGATCCTTCGCTTGGCGATGGCCACTCGCTTTCCAAGCCGTCTTTGCCTTTTGGGTTATCTTTGTCGTATTTGGTGTACCCGAGTCCCCACGATGGCTTCTCAATCATGGGAAGCGACAAGAGGCCATTGAAGTCCTTTCAGCTGTCTACGATAAACCAATCGATCACCCTGATATTCTGCGAGAGGTTAATTCAATCGAAGCGGCCTTGTCTATGGAGGCTGAGGCTGAGGGCAGTACTTCATGGGCTTCGACGTTTAGAAAGGACAAGGTTAGCACAAGGTATCGTGTTTTCTTAGCTTGGTTCGTGCAGTTTATGAACCAAGCCGGCGGAATCAACTTGGTAGTATACTACATCCTCAGTAAGTTCCATAAGAGATCACTAAAACCATCTTCTAACTCCCACCAGCCGTCCTCACCAGCAACGTCGGTCTCGAGCACAGACTAGCCCAAATCATTGCCGGCTGCATCCAACTCATGTTCCCCATCGGTTCCCTCCTTCCTACCCTGGCTCTAGACAAGATGGGTCGTCGATCAACCATGATGTGGGGATCAGCCGGATTATCATTCTCTATGATGATGGTCGCTGCGCTTTTATCCCAAGCAGATGATACGCCACGAGGAAGAGCCTTTGCTGCTGGTTCAGTCGCTTTCTTCTTTACGTATATGCTTATCTTTGGTGCGAGTATGAATTGTGTGCCTTGGGTTTATGTACCTGAAATTTTACCGCTTCATGCTAGGACTAAGGGCACTGCTATTGGCGTTAGTTCGAATTGGCTTTGGAACTTCACAGTGGTAAGTATCCCATTTTCGGACTTTTTGGACGTATCTAACGGAGAACAAGGTCATGATCACACCCATCCTCATCAACCGTCTCCAATGGAAGGCGTATCTCATCTTTATGGCAACCAACATCATTTTCGTACCGATCATCTTCTTCTTGTATCCAGAAACTTCCAATCTGGCACTTGAAGAAGTGGATTATATCTTTGCCCGTGGTGAAAACAGTATTCAAGTGGCTCGCGAGATGCAGAAGGAGCTTGCTCTTCATGGGCATTTGTCTGATGAGAGGCATCTTGGAAGGGGTGATATGAGAACCAAGTCTAAGGAGGGACATGACGAGCTTGCGGAACATGCACATGCTTGATTTCATGCAAGTATTCTGTTGAAATCTTAGCCTGGTCATACTCAGAAGATCTAGTTCCAGCTTCAATATATTGGTGATTTCATCCCGCATGCATTAATACTTCAAATATGAAATAGGCGAGACTATTATGTCTGGTAAGAAGTGAAATAAATCCGTGTCAAGTAGAGATCATGGTAGACGCAGTGTTGTCAATATGCCGAGGTCATCGAGTAAGCTTCCGGTCTTCCCTCCGAGATCTGCCTCCCCACAACCCCTCTTCGGATAAGGACAGCAGCGGAAAACACCCCCACAGACAAACATCACTGTTATCAACAGCATTCCACTCTGTGTCCTATAACACATTACAAACTTCTCTTTGGGATCGGGACCTTTCCTTAAAACTGCAGCCATGACTACATATCATATCCGTGATGTCGATAATGAGATCAAGGGTCGTCTGGCTCTTGTCACTGGGGCTAGGTATGAGCATTCAACATCGGTTCAGGTAGACGTTACTAATCATTCCCAGTGGTGGTATCGGTTCAGGTATCGCAAGAGCTCTAGCAGCAGAAGGCTGCGATGTCGTCCTTCACTGCAACTCCAGTCTTGTAAGCACTACCAAACTTAATACCAACTTCCACTAACAGTCGATACAGCACAAAGTCGAATCCCTATCCAAGGAACTGTCATCAAACTATCCAGAGCAGCTCTTCCCCTGTGTCTCAGCCGATCTAAGCAACCGCGATCAAACTCGTGGTCTCGTCGATAAGGTCTTTCAAGATTCGACCGTCTCAGCCAAGCACAAGGCAGTCTCTATCCTCGTCGCCAACGCCGGTCTCGGCAGACGTATCCGTGATATTAAGGATATGGAAGAGGATGACTGGGATACTGTAATGGAGGTTAACTCGAGGAGTCAATTTGTTGTAACAAAGGCTTGTTTGCCCGGTATGCGTCAGCAAAGCTGGGGACGGGTGATTCTTATTGGAAGTATTTCAAGTATGGGTGGTGGGATCAATGGGTGTCATTATGCGGCTACCAAGGGTGCTTTGAGGTGAGTGCCCTGGTCTTGAGTTTTGATTTGGAAATTACTGACTTGCAGAGTTCCATGGGAAAGAACCTAGCTACGGTCCTAGCTGGTGAGGGAGTAACTGTCAATACCGTAGGTCAGACACAGCAGCTCAATACAGATACTGACAATCATTTAGATCCTTCCGGCAATGATTGGATTTACAGACATGATCCCCACCCCAAAGTCAACGTGAGTCTTGGGCCATGTCATACTTCTCTCCGGCTATACTAAGATCTCATAGGACATGGACGAACAAAACAGACCTTGAAGAACTCAAGGAAACAGATCCGGGCCTCGCCATCGCCGCCAGTGTCCCAGTACGACGTCTGGGTCATCCTCAAGAAGTTGCCAATGTGGCAGTCATGTAGGTCACTCAGCTCATCCCAGGCAACTAGTGGGCTAATAATTCCAGGATGGCAAAAACCGGATACATGACGGGTCAAGATATTCTTCTGTCTGGTGGTCTCAAGTAGACGAACAACCTGCAAAAAGAAAAACATACAACACCAGGTATTCGC